AAAAACCCAAAGGCAGCCCAGCCAAAAATAAAACCTTTTTTTTTTTTTTTTCTGTGGCAAATGGGAAATAAAAAGGTATACTTGTACTGTCTAAGGCAATGTGTGCGTGCTTGCATGTCTTTTGTGTTTAAACCTGATTTAGTATTTTGCTAGAGCTTACTACTGTTAAGGTCCACGTCTTAATGTTCTTACCCTTCTCAGGGTGTCCTTGCAGGACGTTATAGGATATGATGTGTATTTCTACTACCACCACAACTCTACACTCAATTTTCAAGCTACCTGGCATGGAGGGTGTCCCTGCCCATGGCAGAGGGGTTGGAACAAGATGGTCTTTAAGGTCCCTTCCAACCCAAACCATTCTACGGTTCTATGATTCTATTAATAAACAACATTTAAACATGTCACTATTTCAGACATTAAGAACAGGATTAGCTTTTCAGAAGGCATTTATTAGGCATAAAATTGTCATGTGCTTAAAAAAGAACAGAAAGTACAGTTGCCTGTATCCCTGCGGAGAAGTTGGCCATTACTGTAACCTGCTGAAATACCTTCAGCATTTAGTGAAGGTAAACAGACTGTAAAATATTTGGAACAAAATTTAAGTCTAAATATTAGAAAATGGTATTTCACTGTGGATGAAAAATGTGTGAATACAAAGACATACTCCCCCCTCCCACGCTGCATTTATAAATCCATTTGTTAATCCCAGGAGAAACCCAGATATGACTGATGCAACTTGGTAAACAAGAACACACTTTGCAGTCACAGAGAAGGCTATGAATAAAGCTATTAAAACTTTATATGTTGGGTCCCAGCAGCCTCACGTCTCCATAACATTAAATATTTATATGTCGAGAATTTTCAATGTGGAAAAGCAATACTGGCTTCATATGTAACCAGAAAAATTTATGGCAGGATGTGTTTGGTTTTCCACATGGGCTACGATTAAAAAATAATACTTAGACATTGCCATTACACATGGTAGGTATCTGTGACTCTTTATTTTTGGTAGAAATCAGTAAACCCTTTCACTGTGAATAGTTAAGCACAAGGTGATAGTTAGTAGACCTCTCTCCTGAGCCCTCCGGAACACTCCTGCCCTGATGCCGCAGGGAGACGCCGGGCAGACGGCAGTGGCACACCGTGGCCTACTGATGCGTGGCGGCTTGTCTGACCGCGGTTCGGCAGGTGGCGGTGTGCCAGTGCCCACGGGGACCTTGCGTGACAGTTCTCTCGGGTTTAAACCGTTCTATTTTAAAAGGGGTCTAATACCCCTAAGGACTTGCTCCAGGCATGGATGACCACAACCGGAGAACCAACACTGGACAGACTAAACTAGCACTATTTTCAACGTTATCCTCAATCAGCAGAGCCAATCACATAAGAGAATGTTAGTGACAGCAGGTATTGAATTTCCCCACTCCCAGAAAACAGGGGTGTATCTCTGGAGAACTGACTATCTAGACACCTTAAAAAAATTATTTGCTTTCCTTATGACGATTTTGGTTCTCAGTAACAGTGCTGTCCAGACTTTGAGCATTCCCTGCTAACATCTCTTCTGGGAACTGAGTGCTTTCAGTCTAAATAGGAGACTGTACGGTATTTTATGCAGAGGAAGCCTAAGGAACTTTGAAATGAGTTTATGGGAGTGATCTTCCATGCACCATCTCCCTGTCAAATTTCCTTTTGTAGGAGGAAGACTGGTACGCTACAGAGCTACGGTCACTCTCTCCTTCACAGCGTTTGAGACCGATTTCCCAGGTGTTCAGTGTCCCTTTGTTTCAACTGGTAAGTGAAGACACAAACAGTGCCAACTACTGCTAGCTTAAAAGAAGCAAGACCAAAACCAACCAACCAAAATGACACCGTACTATTTCATGTCACATTGCTCTGCAGCATGTTTTTCTAACAGGTTCTGCAGTTTGATATGAAAGGACGACTAAAATACACTGCCTGTGTGATCACTTCTAATTTTGAACCCCAGTGTAATTCCACAGCTATTTTTCTGCTTCTCAGCTGGCCACGTCACACTGATACAAACAATTTATTGCTAAATCTGATGTCCTTCTGGTGGGCTCCATGTTAAATGCAGAGAGACCACGTGATCTCATAACCCCTGAAGGCACAAGCCTGAGATCTTAGCACTGATCAATATCCATCAGCACTGTGGTACAGTGCTCAGCCCAAATTAACCTGCCTAGCCTGTTAAGAATGCTGTAACAAGAATGCAGTTTATATTCTTTTATTGAGTTTTTTATAAATTGCATGAAAGGTATAAATTTTTCATCACAAACACACAAAAAACCTTCCAACTGATTAATTGATTAGCTGAGTAGTTTTGATTTTTTTGCATTCTGAACGGCGCACACTGCCTGTAGCAGACTGTTCTGAAACTAAGGAGAGAGTGTGGTAAAAGAACCTGACTTATTTAAGAGGATTTTTTAAATCATGAACAGAAGGAATGCTACAGCCACTGAAAAGCTGCTACTGTATTACAGGGCTTGTCATCACCTAACTGCTTTTGCACTGCCTTATAAAACAGCACCAGCATTCATCCAGCTATATTTAGCTGAATGATGATCCAACTTTTATGGTATATATTAATAATGCATTGGAAACATTTGTGCATTGCCTAACAGCACAGATAATTTTTGTTTAATTTGTTTCTATACTATGTTGGTGAAGCACTGCAACAGAGAAAATAAATTCTGGGCTTTCAGGCTTGATGGATTCATCATGTTTATGATTTGGTAATGAGTATTATATTCAATTAACAGTGTATTTGCAGTTAATGATAAACATTAACTTTAAAGTCTGATAATGCCTTAGCCCTTCCCGACACAAGTCACAATAAACCCCTTTCAAATACTCATTTTCTATTCCTTTTTATTGAAAAATGAGAACACATACACTCCTTCCTTTTCAGCACAACCCATGAAAGGGTCCCCAGACTATTTCATATGCTCATGACGTACCCAAAGATAAAAAGGGAAGGCTGACTGGCTGAGCACACTTCTGTGTGCCTCTTCTGTGTGCCAAAAGATAGGGAACAACAGCTTAGCACAGGCATGTTTCCCAAATACTTCGCTTTAAAGTCACAATGCTCTATGTAACAGGCCTACAGAAGTTTTAGCCTATCTGATTTAAGGGTTCCTTCCAACATTAGCTTTCCTTTAAATTGATTAGCCATGATCCACTGGAAGGAGAGAGAAAAACCTTGTGAACAAAGCCCCCTAATCCTGTGCATTAGGATTTCACGGGTAGTTATCTTTACGGAAGGCCCATGACCAGCGTCAGCAGCAGCTCACGTTGCCTATCGGTTACCTCTCTGGGACTGGCTTCTCATATGCTCAGCTTTCCTTTGTTCCAACTTCAATTCCCACATGATGGCAAATACGGCATGCTCTCACACAGGACTGACTAGTACTAATACTAAATATAAAACAAAGCATTTTTTCTGGGAAGTCTGACAGTCAGGGGCTAGAAAGACCCAGAACATGAACAACGGCTGCTGCCAGGGCCAGGGCCGGGTTAAGTGAACCTGTAGCATTACCCAGCACAGCTGACAGGTACACAGGCTTCCCGAGTCCAGACCACAGCTCCGATCTTCTTCTGCACCCACACCAAGTTGGAAGTTCAATCTGTCTCCTGACATGGTTGACTCATTATGCTCACTTGGTATTTTAGGGAACCCTAATGTGTTTTCGATTTGTTTAAAATCTGTAGGCTCTCCAAATACTGCTTGGTCTCAAACTCCAGTTTTGTGCTCTTGGTTGTGTCTATACCTCAGTTGCCAGACACTCAAAAACACGCACTTCAGAAATAAGAAAGGAACACTAGTGCCAACCTATTTTCAAATACTTTTTCAATTCTTTCTTCAATGACAAAAAGAACAGCACTTATGTTCATGCGTAGGAGGATGAAAAAACCCCCCAAACAAATCAATATCAGGTTTTACTTGAAGCTTGAGCAATACAAGTTGCAGCATGTGTCATGCTTTCAAATTTTATAGTCTATATTTACACACCCTTGAGCTGGAGAGATCACTGATACAAAGCACATGACATAAATGATTGACATATCTGCCGCATTATGTTATTTAGTTAAAACCCCAAAGAACTTACTTTCCTTCATAAAACAGTATTCTAAGCATAATTTGTTATTGTAAGGCTGAGAAAGCCGCCCCCTCCAATTTTCAGAAACTATGTTATCTTAAAATGAATTCACTGGGAGTTGAAAAAAACCCCACTGTTTATCCCTATGGTTATATATATGGAGAAGAGACATTTAGAAAGAATATTTAAAAAGCACATTTAAAAATGGTACTACGTAAAATTCTCTTACAGGCTAATACTATTTCCTCTCAGTGTTCTGTTCCAATTCCATGGAATTTTTTCCAAAGCGTCCACCTACACAGTCATAGTGTTTTAAAGCTCTAAGACCTAAGTACACTGTACAAATAAGGATGCCACCATTTTTTTGGAATGTTCTATTCTTAAAATAATATACATTTGAGTATAGTACTTTACAAACACAAGAAAAATGGCCATTACAAAAATCTGGACTTTCTTCTTGTTTTGAGTGACACTGAAGGTAGTAAATTTTACCAAATGAGTGGAACAAATCCAGCTTTGAAAGAGTGCCTTGTAATAACCCAATTTTAATGAGTGGACATAAACATAGAATAGAATGAAGATACACTGGATCTAGTTTTGCATATCTTAAACTCAGGTGCTAACAGTAGTACACCTTACTAAAACATCATTCTCCCAGGCTAATTAGTCCTTCTAAAAAACACAGAGAAGCAGAGACAATTAATCTCAGTGAGTATCATACTAACCCGGTCCAGTTTAAGGACATAATGTACTGTGTTCTTCTCCTCTGGAGACACATGCTTACTGTCTAAGACTTAGTAACCCCATCATCTTCAACTGTCAGTCACTACTTCCATCCTGCGTGGCCCAAAGGCACTTTCAGCCGAAGAACTGAATTTTACACGGAAAAGGAACGGCAGTGTGTCTCATCTTTCCTTGAGAAGATACACAAACAGCACACACCAATTTGACCTTCTAACGTGCCATTCAGCAGAGTATCTACTTACTTTTCATCCCAAACATGATCACCTCTGTGGAATACAACTAGGTTATTGTCAGGGTCCAGAGCCAACCCAGAAACTTGGCCTAGTTTGAGGCCTAACCCAGGCCACTCCATAGCCTCTTCTATGTGGAAATCTGACCAAAGAAACAAACAAACAGAAGATGGATGTTCATATAGCATATTTATAAAATAACATGTTAAACTGGCATTTGGTACAGGCTGTTGGGAACTACATGAACATTTTCTCACATGCAGTATTTCCATTAATGCATTGCAATTTAATTCCAAGCATAGTTTTATTGTAGTAAAGCATGCACAAGCACCGACATCCTGCTACAGTACAGGATGACAGAAACTTCCAAACCGCTTTTGACTCCATTCTTTTTTCCACCCTACAAGGATACAGGTACACAGACTCCAGAAGTTTTAGGAGATCTGTGAATACTTCCTACAGTGAAAGATTCCAGAAATACGCAGCTACTATCCAAAATCAGCAGGCAAATTTAAATATTAACCTATTGGTGTTTTATTAAAAAATGCATTACAAAGACTATGAATCACTAAACCAAGTACGTATCAGAAGTGCTTAATTCATGAATCATTTCAAAAAAGCTTTTAACACTAAAAAAAAAACAAACCACCAAACAGACAGGGAAGGAAGAAAAATAGCAACGAGAGGCAAATGTAACAGTCATTCTGTGAAGTTTGCCTATGACATTCTTAGAGCCAAGATATGGATTAGTTCTGGATAGTGTTCATATCCTAATCCAAATATTATAGGCACTAATAGGAAATAGATGTCTAAACCTAGTGAAAGAGATGAAGAAGGGTAGATTACCTGTCATGGTTTACACCGCAACACACTGCTTTTAAGAATAAACACTGTATAGTTTTTAAGTAACACAGAAATGATTTTCACACTAAAACAACACCACAGGACTTAGCAAGTGAATGACTACTAAAAAGTCAGGTAATTCTTGTGTTTTTCTGGAGTCATAAAACTCCTCAATTAAGGGAGACAAATTTAGTTTCAACTTAAAGATTAAAATTAAAAATATAAAAAAAATGTTTACTTCAATCTGTTTTACGTAAAAATAAATTTACACTGACTACAGGCCTGAATAGTCCAAAATTTGAAAAAGTTGCAGAGTGCTGGCAACAAGGATTAATTTCTCACAAACAGACTGTTTAAATACTATTTGGAAGAGGTTGGTCTGGGTTTCCCTGGCAGTATTAGGAGCAAATTGAACAGTATTCCCCCCCCAAAAAAATGTAATGGCAAGACACTGTAATGGCAAATCCATCATCGCTTCCTTTCAGAACTTAATTGGTTCAGCATGATCCTAAAAACCAATCACTCGGTTACCATCTAGCCAAGGAAAGACATCTCTATCCCCATTCGCAAAGTGCCAGGGCATCAGTGCTTTGAGACAAGGCCGATCACAGACCTTAACACACAGCATCCAAGCAGTGCCAGAGGGGTCAGCTGGACGTGATTGTCTAATGAAAGGAAAAATGAAATGGGAAACAAAGCCCAAAATGTTCAGGTCACCTGTGTGACCCAGCTGTTCTGATAAGCATACTCCCCTCCGCACCCCATTACACTTGGAAGAGACGTTATCTGAGGAGTTACAGGGAGGGAAAAACGCTTTCTGCAATCTACACACGGGAAAGACAAAACCAGTGCCAAAAACCTACTACCCACTAGCAGATGTTTTACCTTTGTAGTTCTAGATACCACAGCTAAAATAGGTGACAGAGAAACTGTTCAGGCTAACACAAACCTAACACAAATCTAAGGCAATCAGCAACTGCAATACTCTAACAGTAACCAGAAACTTCTAAAACATGAAATTCTACTCTGAAGTGATTTTAGCTGAGCAAGAATTCCAAGCTAGAAGAGAAGCCATTAACAAAAAAATCACACATATTCATTCTTCTGCACAGTTCAGTTGGTCACAGCAGGTGCAGTACCAGGTATATTTATGGACGTTAGGATTTTGAAAGAATAAAAGTATGGAAATCCAGCGTCCGCCTCCTCACTTGCTGGTCACGTATCAGGCTAAGCTAACTTGCAGAAAAACGTGTACATTTAATGTTACAGTGCCCCACGGCCTCTAAGCCTTATCCAAAACAGCTGGAAAAATTACAAGGCTGAACACAGAAAGCCTATATTTTGGCCTCAGTAAAATTCAGTCTCTCAAAAGGCATGCACTCTAAAGTATAAAATGATTATACTTACTCTTAAAAGACTTAAAGATTTCTGATAGATCAAAACAATAAAATGAATGTACATTAAAATGCAGTCTAATCACAAAGAAACCAGCTCCTACACAACCTTTATATTTTCTCTCACATCTCCAAAATTGGTTTATTATTGATATCTTTTCCCTTTGCAAGTCTCATACCGAAAGTCCTTTGATACAGGTTTATTTTAAGGAAAATAGATTTTTACAAAAACTTACTAAATTTAGATTTCATTTTTCTAAGACTGATTATTAATCCCCTACAGAACTAAGGGGTTCATGGAACAGTTACAGACAAAACCAAAGAAAATTTATTTTCCTCATTAAAATTAAAAAGCTCCACCAGTTTTGTTGTAAATGAGATTTCTAAACTAAGTACCACATCTTCTACCTTGTAATTCAGAGTAATTCCTCTCACCAAACAATAAAGAATTACATAGATTTAGAACACATAAATCAGCCTCTAATCTCTCTACCAGTGAATGAAGAAAGCCTCATTTACTGGCAAAATTGCAGTTCACTGTCCTGAAATCCCTGGAAGCTCTTGCTCATTTTTAACGTTACAAATTTTGGCCATATTGCATTTACTCCCTGCCATAAGAGTAGTCATTTGAATTCTGACAAATACAAGCCAGCACTGCTTATATAATTTTACAACTGTAAAATTACAATGTTTTGCATTAATTAGGAGGTATAAATGTACTGGTTGCGGTGATGTTGAACAACCTGGCGGATTACTGACCCGTCGCAGGGAAACAAGATAACAACAGCGCAGGAAGAGCACCAGTATAATTATAAATGTAACATAGCAACTTTACTTAACATACTAGTTTCTTGCTATTTCAGGCCAGTTACCTGTTTAAATATTAAGCTATTCCAATTCTATTAACTTTTAAAAAATTACATTAAATTAACAGCAACCAGAGTCTTGTTCTAAGAAATACTGAGAATTTTTTCAATTCAATATATTAAAGAATGTTATGAGGGGTGCAAATTTTTTTATTAAAACAGGACAAGTTAAAACACTTTATGTTCCATTTCTTCTTCTGAAGAGGAAAATTTTCTTATGGAATGGTCTGTTCTGATACACAAATACTTCCCAAATCAGAAGATAAACACGTGCCTGAAGATTCTACTGCTGTAAAAGCTATTTTGCCAAAAGATGGCGCTGACAGCTTCTGCAGCTCAGCATTTCTGTAGTTCGCAGCATCATAAACATTAAAAAAGAAATCAATGCTAATTAAGATCATTTCAGTTTTCCTTTTTGCTGTAACTCAGAACTGCATCATTTGAAAGTCTATTTATTAATTAGTCCTCCACCAACAAATTCTTCCCAAATGAATACATATCTACTGAAGAAGGTGAGCAAATGCTTTCTGTAGTTAGAATTCACGCCATATGGTGTGCCAACTAAGCCATTTATTCAGTTCACTGACACTCCCTCCTTTGGATCAGTTAGAACAGAAAGGAACTATCTTTTTTCCCCTCTACTTCACCACATGCTATTAGCCTGAACTGAAAAACTGGTTTAGCAGAAATGCTACACACATTACTCCTCCGAGCATTTAATTCCAGTGTCAGTTATGGAATTATTTATGATTTGCACTTATCTCAGGCACATGGTAACATCCCACCTGGTTTTGCCCCAGTGCCAGTAACTTGACAGACTAGCATAGAAAGTCCCCATCTTTGGTTTGCTGTTAAATACAAGCCCGGAATTTTGCTGCATTTGAATACTACAGCAGAATCTCACATAAGCAGAGACAATACGTGTTAACAGTTTGAACTGAAATTAAAAATGGATGATGAATGATGTATATTTGTGTACAACAGTACTGGCAAACATCGAGCGGGCTGGTTGCAACATAAAAGCAAGCATGTGCTGCTACAGCTTACGCATACAGATGACTTCCATGCATACATACCAGTTTCTTTTATGAGATACTTGTCACATGCTGCATTATCTGGCTTTCCACATTAGCAAGTAAGACTAAGCACAATCAATATCACAGAGACCAAACTGCAAGTAAAACAAACACAATACTTCCATGGTTTCTGCTGTCATAGAAACCTGAAGGGAATGAATGATAATCCTAGCATAATGAAACAGCCTGTCCAAGAATATTTGGATAGCCAAGCCCAATTTGAGATAAATATGCAGAAAATTCTATTTCTCTAGATTTTTAAAAGGATTAATTACCACTCTTTGTGAATGAAAGAAAAAAAAGTCTGATCGAATTACACCAATGGATTTTACAAAATCCTGTATCTGACAAATCAAGGCAGTCAGAAAACTCATAAAATACATCCATTATCCCAGTGACCATTTTACAGTGGTTAATTCTATTAAGAAATTCTTCACTTCCCGTAACTACTATATCCTGCGTTTACCTTGTTTCAGCATAATTGATATAAAGTGATTAAGTAAAAGGCCTGAGAGTAGGAAAAAATACTCTATATTCCAAAAAGTACTGGTATTGTGCCACTGGTATACATTATTTTTTCACACATGGAGGGGGAAAGAACCCCACTGAAATGCCTCTAAAATAGAGGGAGAATGTTTCCATAATTTGGAAATCTGTCACGTAAAATACTTCCAAGCATCAATTGATATTCCCTTCAGATTTTGCTAATGTGGATCACAGCTCTTACATTGCATTTCATTGTATAAAATTAACCCCTAACCCACCTCCTGTATGTTCTTTTTCCCAGCTTCCCTCACCATGTTTAGGCTGTTGTAAAGAGAAATGTCTGTTCTCTGGTGGCCTCAAGGTAGACTCTAGTCTGTGAAATTTGTGAATTCTGTCTCTGACAAGAATAGTATTGTCCCTCTCATCATGATTTGTGATCTCTCTGGCAAGATCCTTCTTTTGGACTACATTAGCAATCTCAGCTACAAGATCGGATTTTGCCTTTTCTGTAGGGTTATGCTTATGCACATGCACAACATCTTTCCTTTCTCCTAGCAGCTTGGAAAGGAGTGAATAGAAATCACCTGTACAGAAAAGAGAAAAGATAAGAGGAAAGGAGGGAAAAACAATTATAACAGATAGTGTAGTTTTAGAAAGCTTCAGCAAAGTATAATGTAACAAAGATATTTAAACAGTCATTGTCAAAAGTAGTATAAGAGGGAACTGTCCCAGCCTCGGGTATTGAATGAGCCAAGTCTCTGGTGTGAACAGATAATGTTAAATCTTTATCAACTTTGATTTACACATAAATACGCACTTTTACCTACCACTCTGGCATAAAAATATCATCACCTCTGCACAGATGTTCTTGGGAACAAGGGGGAAAAAAAAAAACCAGAAAAAGTAGTGTGCAAATTTCAAAGAAAGAGATTTACGATGGAACTATCTGCATTTGCCAGGGTACTGCAGATTTATTTCATTTTTATAAAACAGAGAGATAAAAAATTCATAGTATTATTCATTTGTTCACTTATAAAGACAATAATACACAGTTGTGATGCATTTAAAAATATATTTCTTTGAAATCTGTCATTACATAGAGAAGCATAGGCTATAAGAAAACAAACTTTCACATTTGCTATCAGATTACATAGAGCATCATGTGGAAATAACCCACACTAGTAAAACACAGTGATCCATTAAATTTTCATTTATTAATTCGGTCTGAGTCCTGTCCTTCCTCCTCCTCCAAACAGTGACACCCCAGTCACAGTATCCTCTGGCAATGAAGGGAACATTATTTCCTCAAGCTGCTTGTGAGCAATGCAGTCATCACAACAGCTTTCTTAGGCACCAACAAGCATTTCAGTGAATTCCAGAACAATAGCTCAAAGCAGACAAACAGAAATTAGCTATGCAAATTCCAAAACTACAACTTTCTTCATTAAATATTCAAACTACCCTAACAGCTTTTGATGAAGTCAAAGTTTAGTTCTTTTTGCAGGATTTGCAGTCATGATATGGTGAGAAGTACATTCTTCTCCTGGGATTCTCTGCTAGCCAGCAGATACCCAACCTGTATTAACCAAGTATCCTGACTGCTTGAAACTATTATTAGTTCTATTACGTACAGCTGCACCATTTGAATGAAAAGACACATCCAATATGCTTTAAGATTTAATGCAAGTAGGTATTTTTAAGTACAAGTCACCCATATTTAAGAATCTGTATTATTTTATCACATGCTATATAAAACTTTTTTTTTTTTTTTTAAGAAAAGCAAAACAATAACTAATAATACCTAATGAAGCTTGCACCAAAAAAACCCCATCTGGATCCAGAAACCATCACTTGCAGCCTGGGACAGAGGAAATTAAGTCTTTTGGAAAAGACCCAAAGAGGATCTGTCATGTTTATAAACAGTCCTAGTTCAATGACTTTGAGTAGGATTCCATTCCTTGCCCTTGGAAATGAAACATCCCTGATGAAATCTTCTGTCAGAAAATAATTACTGAAGTAGCAGGGCCAATTTCAATGACATGAACAAAGCAAATTAGATCAGATAGAGAATCGTTCAGCTAAATAACAAATACGAATAATTTGCTTCAAATACAACTGTGAAGCTAGAATGCTGAATAATCCTAGTACTGTCATTCAACTAGTCCAACTACTGATTCAGAACAAATCCACATATTCAGAAATTACGATATAATAGAAGTTCTGAATACAAACCATATTTATTCTGAGGAAGGTTTATAATTACATTACTCAGGATCAGTACTCTCTAATTAAAGCACCCAAGAATTGGTGCTGAGGTAGAAACACATCTGGACTTTCCTTTACTTAGGAAACATTCAGTATTAAAATACTCTCCATTGGCCTTAACTGTGTTTTTGCACCATTAAAAAAACTAAAGTTTATATGTACAAATATTTTGGTTTTATTGGTGGGTGGAGACCCACAGATGAGCAAAACCCTCTGACTTCATATACAATCATTTCCAGCAGAGGTGTGAATGGTAAAAGCTCGGTTCTGCTTAATGTAACTGTGAAAAGTCTCCCTAGGGCAGCAAGCCTGGTGCTATTTTAAACTTTATAAAGAAACTTCAGTGATCTTTGCCCAGTTCACTCTTTCTCAGTTCTGTATCAGCTGTCTGATCAATTTATTAGTAATTCCTGAGCACAAAAAGCACCCCAACATGCTGCAGTTTGTATAAAAGTTTCAGATCCCTAACTCACAGCTCATATGCTCACTCTGCTTGAACAGAAAAGTTTGCCAGCTTCCTGCTTCTGCCAAACACACTGCATTCTGCCTCTGTTGTGCAATGGTTGACACAGAGCAATTAAAACAGATACTGCTTGTTGACTTAAAAAAACAACCAACCAAACAAAAAAGCACTTTGGTTTGCTTGTCTGAAATTAGCTTCTCTTAATACAAAAGAAACTGCTCAGAGATAGGACACAGTAGAGGACAAGAAGAAAAGAGAGCAGGGGAATCCAATGAAAACCCAGAGAACAATTTTTAGGACAAGGTACTTTCACAGAAAATTCCAGTGGTCTTTATGGAAGCTATTAATTAGGGACTCAACTCCAAGTTGGTTGATCAGTTTTGGATTTCTCCTAGCACTGAGCCTATGATCATGTGAGAAACTTTCAAACAGTGGAATACTGAGTTAAGGTGGTTTGAGTATCAGTATCAATGGCTATACATGAGATTCTTTCCAAGTTGAGCTTGTCCTATTAATGCTTTCATTAAGCAGGGGTGATGTAACCATAACCATCAAGATTATCTAGGAACTGTCTGTATGTATGAAAAAAGGTGTGCCTCAGGAGACTGAAAGTGGTCTGAAATGTAGCTGTTCTGAAACCACGATCTTCACTGTGAATAAATGTGTTTGCGAAAATGAATATGAAATCTCTACACCAAGTTCAAGGCAGATTACAATAAATTTGTAAGCAGCATGTTCTTAAGAAGTAGTTCAGAATTCATTCCAGATAACTAGCAAAGAGCAGACTCATGTTGTTTCTGGTTAGCAATTGCTCCCTGCAAAGCAATATCCAGCAAACATCAAAGCACAGTTTCATGTTGCTGCTTTACAGCTGTCTTGTACTAGCTGGAACAATTGAAGAACGTTGCTTGCCTGAAGATACTCAGTGGGAAAGGAACATCAGCAAGATGCACCATATTATTTGTTTGGTCTTGTTTGTGATGAGACAGGCCTTTAAAATGCCTGCATACGACTAGAAGACATGGGTGCCTTAAATAACAACTTGCTCTTGTTGAAATAACTGAAGTCTAGCAGTGCAGTTTCAGGGAAGCTGACTGATGAGGTTAGTTTCAGAGAGAACATTTGCGTGCACTTTTTACGTGTGAGCTACCAGACACTTCCATCTACATAATACAGTAAAAGATGATTGGCTATACATACCTACAGTTCCTCTGTTCTGGAGGAAGTGATAGCTGTCAAGACCAACATCTCCAGAATGAAACAATGCACAAGCCTGTTGCAGTAAGTTTATACTTTAACTATGGCAGTCCTACACTAAGAATATTCTTTTACAGAGTTCTGGAAAACAGTCAAACAAATAAAATCATAACATTGGCGACCTCATGGCAAACCATCAGCTGAACCTCACCTGCTCTCAACAAAAGACCGAAGCAGTTTAAGGTTAATAAAACAGTTCAGTATGTTGAACACGAAGGACTGGGTAGAATCCCAGTGGTGGTGAACTATCCATGTCTAAAACCCGTCCTTTTTCAGCACTAGAGCGTAACTTCCCCAACTTGCAGCGAGCAGTTGCTGTCCATGGTCCTTATGCAGCACACCACTATGCTGTTGGAAGTCCCAGCTTCCAGGCCTGATCAAGGATCTAGCCATGGAGCAGCAGGATGAAGCTATGAGACAGATGGGAAGTTCAGCCATAGTAAGCCTGTAGAAAGAGCTTGAACCTGTAGCTGTTTAAGATGCATATGTGAAAACTCATTTTACTGCATTTTTAAAAAAAGGTAACAACATGCTGGTGGTGTCTGAGACCCAGTACATGCGTTTGTGTCATAATGCCTGTAGAGTTTCACTGAGACAGTTCAGAGCAGGTCCCCAGTCTGTCTGGGAAGGAATCAGGACTGAATAGGATTTCAAACAGGAAGCCACTACTGCAATCTTCCGACAAAACGACATCTTACCAGGAAATAACCAGCACTGAGAGATTAAGAGCAAAAATCTAGCAAACAGTCCTCTCTGTTGACAGAGATCGGTACAGCAAAGTTTATCTGCGTGTTGCTGCAGCTCAGTTGGTGTGAATCCTTGTGTTGAAAGTCTCCTCTTCTTGAGCGTGTATGATCTGAGATGAAGCCAACATTTTGGTCCCTCCAAACTCATGTCTCGGTCCTGTTATGATTGTAGTAAGAAACAAGTTTTCATAGTTGACTTTGGTTTTCCTGATTATCTCTGAATAAAATGGAGTGTATTCTGCGACTGCATCTTTCCTTATTAGGATGTGCCTCTGTTTAGCATGTTCATCTGGCAAAAACAGTCATTGCTTTGCCTTTTCAGAAGAGCTGAGATCAGAGTCCAAATGATATGGACTTCAAATAAGACTCTGACTCACCTTAAATCTTACATGTCTGTGTAGTATGTTATAGATTCATATGAAAGAACGTGTATTTCACAATTATCTTCCTGATGAAAATAAGGAAATTTGACTGCAAATACCACCTTCAAGACTCTGCCATCATAAATAAAAACCTTCCAAATAAACATTTATCAAAATCAAAACTTTAGTTTCCTTTATCTCCTAAGTGAAGCTACTAAGCTCATTCTAACAGGCATACATAAGATAACACTGCTGGTAGGAAAGAAGGGGATAAAGGCACAGAAACACATTGCAGAAATGAACAAAATCTAATCTCTATTTATTTGAAGTGACATTGGACATAATAGGCCAAAACAACTTTCAAAATGGCTTCTAGTCTGCTATTATTTTACATGCAAGTCCTACCATACTGATTTAATCTGTTGCTTTGATGAAAGCATTGGAAAGATTCCTGAGAACTAAAAACTATTAAGTAAGGCTGTTTTCTTTTT